GGGCGACCCTACGGCCTCTAGAACTCGAAGTAGTAGTTCCCCCGGTAGCAGTTCGGTTAACTAGGTCTAATAGGCTCTATGCCTTTAGGACCTTAAAGTTCCTACCGAACTACCCTATTAAACGCTAGCGAAGAGCTAGCGTTTGAAGGCAGCCAGGGGACGAAAACTAGGAAAACCTCGCCCTTCTTTAGAACCTACAGCCTCCTATATAGCTATATAGGCTAAGCCTAGAAATAGTAGCTTTAATAGGTTAGTCTTAGGATATCGAGGGTCCTTCGGCTAGGTAGGAGGCCCCCTAGGCCTCGGAACCTATAGCGGACCTAAGACCCTTTTTCCCCCTTAGAGATTAGCCTAGCCCTGGCCCCGATACCCTCGACTAGAAAATAGCCTACCTTAAAGCCCTCGCTGAAATATAATAAGGCCTAGGGGAATAGGCTACTATTTTCTATACCGACGGCTCTCTAGGCTACCCTACTAGGCCCCCGAAAGGGCCTTTATAGGTTATAGCCGCTATAATATAGTAGACTAGTACTAGAAGGCCCTATAAAGCTATAGGCTTTAACCTAGGGGCCGCTACCGAAATCGCGGACGCTGAATTATATGCTATTCTTTAGGCCCTTCACGCTACCCTTAAGCAGACGCCTAGGCCACTAGAGTGCTATATTTTTAGCGATTTATAGACGGCTATTCTAAAGCTTTAGCGCCCCTTATAATAGGCTATAAAAGATAAAGGCCTTATCTTACGCCTTAAATAACTAGGCACTTCGGTCTCTATCTAATAGTGCCCCTCGCACGTAAGAATAAAAGGGAACGAACTTACGGATAAGGTAGCTAAAGGGGCGTTAAACCCCGAAAAATCTATTAAATCCGTTAGCTTAGTTATCCTTAGCTACCTAAAACGCCGGGTAAATAAAGCCCTTATTTAAGACTAGAAAACCCTATAGAACCACGAAGAAGAGGAGGAGAAAAGAGGTAAATCGGTTCGATTAGGCCGCCTATATAGGCGACTAGTCCGCGATAAACTCCGTTTCTCCCGAAAACCACTACTAATATAAGGCCCTAGGTAGGTAAAATCGGCTTTTACGCAGTTAAAAACCGGCTTCGGATACCTAAAAATCCACTAGAAAAGGGCCTAAAGCTACGCTAACGACCGCTATTCCTGTCCCGGCTACCCTATACAGGATACAGCACACCTTCTTCTTTCCTGCCCTTTTTATAAAGACAAACGAAAAGCCTTACGGGAAGCCCTAGCAGGCCTACCGCTATCTCTACCGCTATTATTCGGTACTAAAAAAGGAATACAGGCCCTATAGGCCTATCTTTTAGCTACTAAAATAGCTTTAGCGGAGTAGTACAGGGCGTAAACCACGATTCCTGCGGTCTAGTTATTTTACTTTGGTTTTTTACCTATTAGGTCTATTAGGCAGATTATTACGGAGGATTTCCTTTATTTATTACTACTACTACGCTTTATCTTACTATACCTAGCTTCTGATAGCCTTTAGCCCTTAGGGCGATAGGCGCCGCGCCATAGCTTCAGGGCTATATACGCGTAATAAATCAAAAAAGAAAAAAGGGCTATTAGTACGGCGTTACCGTGATATCGAAAAGAGACTACTTACCGTAGCGATACTACCGTTACCGGTAGCCTTTACTAAAAGGTAAAGACTATAAACGTCTATAAGACGTTACTACTAGTTTTTAGTAGTGGGGGGGACTTATCGACTAGTTAGACTACCTTAATATACCGACGGTACCCTAATAGTATAAAGACGACTTATATTCTTATATAGGCGATGATTATTAGCGTAATAAAAGTATGCTATACCGGTGCCTATAGTATTAGTATAGGCTTCGATATTATCTAGATAGGTTCCTAGACGCTTACTATAATATAAGTAACTGCGATATATTAGCTACTATAATACCACGTCGATACTACTAGGGTAAACATACAGTATAATATAAATAATACCTTCTTTATAATAACGGTTATTATTACTAGGAGAAGGTATCTACGGCTATTAGTACGCTATTAGTATAGCACTACTATAATATAAAGATACTTATATTAAGACGATATTTAAGGTTAATATCGAAATTATTATTACTATTACTATTATACTACCTAATTAACCCTACGGTACTATAACGCTATCCACGAACCATAGACCACGTACTAGAATTAGATAAGAAAATTATAAATTAAGTATAGAGAACTAGACGTTATTACTAGTTAGTATAATGCCGTGATAGTAGACCTATAAGACCGTAAACGGGAACGTAATAAGGAATACCTATAACGAACTCTATAGCGTTATAGGAAGGAAAAGAGGAAAAAAGAGGAGGGCCTTACCCTTTATTAACTATCTACTATTCTTTACGGGTATAGACAGAGCCTTACCCTCCCTGCCTACCGCCGGATATAGTAGGCACCCCCCCCCCCCCTAAGGGACGTAGGAATACCTACCCTACCTTTTATCTATATTAATTAAGTAGAAGGAATAATAGGTATAATCCCCGGGGATATAGGGAGGCCGGAGATAGCGTACCGCGGCCGCTATATATCGGAGACGCCGCGGTACCCTTTTAGCCCCCGTCCCCTTACTAACGACTAGCCTAGGCTAACCCGAACTAGAGCCTACTACCCTTCCCGTTAGCTATTAGCCTAGAGGTATAATCCAGATATATAAAAGGGCCGAACCAGGGCTATATCGGCCCTATAACGGTATTACTCTAATCAAGGACGAGTATAAAGGTTTTTCCCGGGATCCTAGGTTTTCCCTTTTATCGCTACCCGAGAAGGACCGTATAGTCTAAGCTAGGCTTTTATAGATTAGATAGGATAGCGGAGTAATAATAATAATAATAATAATAATAATAATAATAATAATAATAATAATAATAATAATAATAATAATAATAATAATAATAATAATAATAATAATA